TTCTACTTTCATCATCAAGTAGAAGAAGAAGACAGTTTCTATACCTAGGACTGCGTTTTAATTTCCAGCGCACTACTTTCTTCTGAATGTAAAATTTCCTCAGTTAGCCGTTGGATTCATCATTTTGCTCCGCTATAACAGACGTAAAGCACACCTGGGTGATCGTCAGAAAATATGGTTACATACAAATGAGCTTCATTTTACTTGAGCAGTGCTTGTCCTGTATTGAGAGTGTTGTATAAAAGCGATGTATAAAATGGTCACTTATCTTTGCATTGTGTTAATATAATGATTCTTTAAATACGTTTATTTGTTAAAGAGAGATATACTTAGGACAGAGTTTTCTGTTTAAAAATAATTGACGAGGCAAATTAGTACGTCGAAATCCACCTCAGAAGCCGTAAAGTATCCATGCGATATGAAACATAAAATATTTAAACTTTTCTGGTATCAAAATAATGAAACTGATTCATACACTTATTGACTTATGAAGTCTTTTAGTGTTTTCAATTCGCAGCTATTTCGGTTGTGTAGCTAGTTAATTAAACTGACCTTGCGTGGTGAGCCCAATCACTTCCCTATTATGGTCTGCGCGTGTTCGGTCAGCGGTGGTCGAACGCCGACATTCTGTACAAAAACTCGTACAAAGACAAAAACCAGGAGTCAAAATCCTGGTTGCGTTTTGATTATGCGCATGCGCTTAAATTCAATAACGGTTTCTGAACACGCCTGGAGCCGAGAGTAACCGCTGTGACTATCGCTGGATTCTCATAGGTCCTCATAAAGTTCTCGATTAAAAGGATCGCGGCTTCTAGGAACGAGACTGCTCAACCTGCGTGTAAACCTAAATTCTTTTTTGAAAGCGAAGGACATCACACAGGGAGAATTTGTTCGTCGGAAGTTGTGTTTCTATTATTTATGTCAGTGCTAATCTGAGTCCTCATGTAAGATTTCCAGCAGCAGGTAACCGTTTCGATTTTGCTCTGTATCGCGAAAATTTTCCAG